TTCCGTTAGTTAAGATCTGTCAGACTACCCTCGTATCATGAATACCACGAAGCCTTTCTAGCTCAGACACAGAGATAACTCATCATACATCTTTATCTTTTCTAGATTACCTACCTCAACGTGGATAAATGCGACGTTATGCTGTCTCTTCTGCTAGGAGCCTGCAGAGATGTCCTCGGAGAAGTTTCTTGCGAAATGGGTTGCGAAATTGACATACTAGCCATTGCCTGGAAAAAGAAGCCCAGTAAGAGCAGTTCAGAACGAAAATAGAATTGCTAGATATGTTCCTGTATGGCAAAGAGCTCGCGCATGAGATTCGTCTGGACATATCGGTCAAGCAGCTACGTCTACTCCGTCTATTCTAGGTCTATGCTACTCTTCCTACATCGTACTCTCTAAGCTTCCGGTCTCTCCCTTAGGATGGAAGCAGATCGTGCTCTGTATCCTCTATAGAATGATGAAAATAAAGAAAATCTACTTGTCGAATAGGCAAAAATTAGTCCATGCCGCTAACTACAACACAAGGAATAAGTCAGCTAGAATATTTATGCTCCATGCAAAGAGTGGATAAATGAAATATTTACACCAGAGCCGGTTTGGTCCATCAGTTGCATTGCCTGCGGAACCGATTAAACGAGGAACGATTAAAAAAACGTGGTCGACATCGGCGATCGTGTGTCTATTTTAGAGATATATTCTGTCTCTCTTTGTGATTGTCAGATATTAACTCCTTCGCAGTCTCTAATTTAACGTTACGTCGTTTCCAAAATCATAATCGCAATTTACGCAAATTTATTCCTCCCATATTTACAAGGCATCTCTGTTATCTCGAGAAACATGAAAATTTACGAGTTACGCTGTACGCAAAAGGGGAAGTCTCACGAGGAAAGTGCTACGTACTACTTTAGATACTGTTCAAATATTTACCACTACTGCTTTAACTTTATCGTTAAAGGTCTACTTTTTAGTAAGTACCAATCCAAGTAAGATCTATTTCTCAACTTTCATGAAGTTTCCAAGATTTTTAATTTTTTATGAAACACTATTATACTAGCTAATTTTCGTATGCGTTTCCAGCGAATACAAAGCTAAGATATCCAAAGGTTACTTTAACCGATTCGATAGTTCCAGCTTTAACTCTCGGTTTGCTAATTTTTTCCAATTTTTTCTTCGCCCGTCTGCGAAAGAGTTAATCTTCGTCGTGATTAATGACCTTTTTATTTACCTGTTTCAAGTGGTTCTTTAGTACGGTGCCTTCTGGTTCGGGCAATGGGGGCAATTGATCACCCAGACCAGTAGGTGCGTTTATTTTATTGCTGTCTAGATCCACTAGCCAAATGTCATCGGGCATTTTAAAGTTCGTTTTGTACAATAAAAAAGTAGCGGGTATTCCGATAACAAATGGTGTAGGTGCAAGCAACAACTGTTCCGCGCAGCTCATGCACGTGGGTAACAATGGTATCGCGGGGAACATATACTCCAGAGGATAAATCATCGTAACGAACGCCATTACGGACATCGATAGGGCATTGTAGTCGCGGGATTGTAACACGATCTGAAAGCAGATATAATTCGTACGTCCATTAATTCCATTTGTATCATAGTAATGACGAAATGATTCTTTGATAGCATTAGGTCTAAAGATCTAACTCAGCTGGTCTCAGCCTTTTCTCGTATCACTTTTTAGACGCATGATTTTCCAATTTGATACGATCTGGTCCAGTTCGCGTACCAGCTGGAAATCTTCAACGTACTGTACATACGAGTCTGATAAGTTCGCAATGAGGACAATTCAGGAGCAAGAGGAATACTCTGTTAGGTCTACCTGACTTTGATAATCTCAACATGTATATTGCTTGGAGACATACTTTGGCATGGCAGTAGAAGAAATTACGACTTGCTATACATTTTGTTCTAAGTTAATTAACACTGACCTAGACCAGATCTACATCAGTTTTTTATGGCTATGTACCCATATTTTGATGGCAAAGTGTTCCATTCATTTTCTTCGTAAAATACCATACACTGTGGTCAATTAGACCTGCGTTTCTTCCAACTGCCAACTTATCAGGCACATAACGGTATCACAAATGGTACGGTGCGCGTAGCATAGGCTGAGAATGGCTGAACTGGACGGTCTTTCGAGATATCGAGCATATTCTTTAGGGAGACATTGTTGATCTACAGAATTTGTTAAAACGAATTTTAATAATGCTGATTTAATATTTCTGATTGGAAAATAGAAGATTACCTTGTGCTCCAAGAGAATCAACGTGAGGACCTTCAAGCATATTTCAACGCCAAGAAGTTCCAGGGGTAGATGCAGAGGGAAATCAACGAGAGAAAATCTAGTGTGGTCTGGGAGTGCAAAACAGAGTGGTGGCTGCATACTTTGCGACACGATCTCGATCTCGACGCGTGTCTTTGTCGGGACCGGTACGGGGCTGCTCAGCAGTCGCAATATCCACGTCTCGATCTCTCGGACATCGTGTAACACTATCGATGGGGTTCCCTCCAGTGTTTGTCCTGTTAGAACACTCCACACCGTGTCTCTGTTGCGGATTGATAAACAATTTTTCTTCTTTAAACATTCACATGGGATACGTAACACCATTCGCTTATGAAGAGCAAGAGAAGAAGCAAAGTATGTCTGCTTTGTGATTTTAAGCGTTTACTTCGGCAATTTTATTTTTACTGATTCACTGTATGTTGTGACACAATAGGGAATATACAGGGTGTCCCAGAATTCGCGCAAGAAGTAATTTTGATCGAAAACAAACTGGCTTTTAATTAAAAATTGTAAATGAAGACGCGTTGTTCTTTCATGTAACGCTCCATTTTTAATAATCCTGAATTCTCAGCTATCGCGCTGTCTTTTTTCTTCGTTGGTAACGCTTTATCACTAAAATGTCGGAAAATTCAAATCTTGCGTGAATTTTGAGACATCCTTTAGTTAAAAGAATCTATGTTAGAAAGAGGAAGAAGATGTAAAGGTGCATACGAATTGCAAAGTGCAAGTTCGAATATTCGTAAGGGACAATTAGCCAAGTGGACGAAGAAAAGATTTGCAAATTCACGGTTTGCAAGCAGTCAATTGTTACCTGTTGGTCTGCCTAGAAGCGCCCACTTTCTGCGGCGAGGAACTCTCGTTGCACGCGTCGATGATCTTCTTCAGGATGAAAAGGCATTCCCGGAACATCGAGAAGAACGGATGATGGGAGATGATGCATAACGACGTCAGCGAGTGATTTCGTATCCTCTGGAAGCGTACACAAGGATAATCGTATCGGCTGACTTATTCGGTTCATTTGTCCAACTTAATACGCCTCCACTGACACAATGGGCTTGAATTGACTAGTATATATGTACGTTGATATCGAATCCTTTTCAAACAACAGATGTACCGTTTCAGCTGGGGGTTGGCGACTCGAAGTTTATATTTAACTTTGAATTACTTAACGTTGCTTTCTTAGGAACGTAATAACTACCGTGTGCGATGATGCCAAAGGAACTTTCATTGAATATTAAAACAGACGCATCGTCATGCAAATACCTTATAATTATTAGAGAGATCAGCGCCATTAATTCCATAATTGGCTAATTAATCGATTGGTCGAACCATGAATTCGCAATTAGTTCGGATCCGTAGTTTAGTACCCGATCCAGTGACAATTCCACAATCAGGCAAATGGTACAATGACAATTCCACGGTCGGGCAAACGGTAAAATGACAATTCCATGATTGACAGGTGGGTCAAGTTAATGGCAATTCCACGATCTGGCAACTGACGCGGTTGCAATTCCACGATTCGGCAACTGGCACGTACGCAGATCGATATGGCAACAATTCCACTGTTCCGTAATCGACCGGATGACAATTTCGCACTCGATAAATCAATATAACGGCAATTCCAAGATAAAAATGAGAAAACGTGCATTTCATAGTAATTTACCTGTCGTCTACGTGAAGCACGTGGAGACGGAGAATGGCTTCCTCCGCTTTCGCTGTCCACGCTCGGTGCAGTGATACCTAATCTCGGTGCACTCGGTATATGAGGAGTGTCAGAGTCCCTCCTGCTGCTCGGACATTCTTTCTCAGAGTCGCTAGGGCCTACTGCACTGCTCCTATAGTCGCTATAAAGAACAGCTAGAGGTACAGTCTCATAATTGCAGAAAGAATTTAAAAATAATTTGCAACGAGGTGTTCTTAAAATATTCCCCTTCGCAAGACTTCCATTGTATCTTGAACGTCCATGCAGATACATATCTCCGTTACAATTCACGTATAACCGATCTCTACGTCTCAACTTTTAATCCCAGGATCATAAGTTTTAATCCCTGGGTCTAAGACTCGAATCTTAATTCCGATTTCGAACTTGCCCAGGTTTTAATAAAATGATTTTAAATTTAATAACATGGGCTTTAATGGGAACTCTTTAAGCATGCACTTGACATTTACCACTTCGTCGAATATTATACCATCACGTGATCATTCATTACACCCTTTGCTTAACCTTTAATATCAGCCTTTCGCAAAGGGGGAAGAAGAAAAATCTAGATCCGACGATCTAAAATCCGAATCTTTCGTTGGATTAGATATTTTGGTAATAAAATAACGTGTTATATTTCACCTAGAAAAGGCAGAATCTGTGCTCTTTTCCATGCTCTTCCTCCAGCTCTCCCTTCGAAACGTGGTATTGTATTTGTCCCTCTTCATCGAGACTCCACCCCCGACCGCGACTCCTACCCTTTCTATTGGTCGATAAAAATTCACGCATATCCCATAACGAGTTTTCCCTGAAACATAACAAAACACACTTCATAGAACACACTTAAACACAATTATTATCCATCAATCTAATATTCAAGTTTTCTACCAACATCTAAATCGGTTTTCTGAAAAATTATTTCAAGTCATACAAATTATCACGATAAATTAGTTTAAAAATTATTTCGATAATTTCACTGTACATTTCATGAAGAATTTTTGTTCAAATGTACGTATATTAAAACAGAAACGAGTATCAGTGGAGCATTCTGGTTCTAATCCGAGTATTCTTCGTGATTTTTATTTCTAATTTCACTTTTTAAGGCACGAGTTAATTTTCCAAGAGACTATTCCGAAGAAAGAAAGCAGAAAATTTTAATACCGGAGTCTTTGTCCGTAAGGGTGAAGGTAAAGGAGGTGGCCTCTCGTAAGGCTGTGCGTTTCGGACCCACGCTGGTGCACCCTTCGGGTTGGCAGAAGTAAACCATGTCCAGCGGCAATGGAAAATCTTTGTGATCTTCCACCGGATATCTTCGCAGTAATTCTGGCACCTATGTCCAAATATTCATCGATTAAGCTAACAAATTTCGAATTTTACGCTAATTTCTAAGAACCTTTTTATTACTTTACTCTTCGTTTATTTTCATCCTTAATAAATTCATTAATTTATAATTATTAATTATAATTAATAATAATTATTAATAATTCAAACTCCTTATTATACTGCAACGCGTGTTCTAATATCTCTTTTCTAATATCGTGCGATCCTGTTGTTTCACTAAATTTCGAAAATTCTTTCGAGTCCCACTATTTGATCTTTCGGTAATTATTTTTAGTAATTTAAGTATGAGCGTTGCTTCGTCGCGAGATACCTATGACGAGCCAGACCGGTGATTATGGCGTCAAGGGGTTGAAACGTACCTGCACAGGTTGGCGAGAGACTGAGGGTAGTCTGGCCCCCACAATGGCGAGGTAATCCACCAAGCGGGGGCACAGGTACTTCTTCTGTATATCCATCGCTGTAATTTACAGCTCTGTCACCGCTCTGTGCAATGTGTACGGGTCATCTGAGCCGTCGGTCTTTCGTCAGGATCACCTCCTGATCGGTTCATGGCTGTATCATTCTTCACTTAGTCTTTCACATCTGGAAACACGAGTCGATGACTAAAATTAAATTTCCATCGGAAATCGAGACCTATTTGATTAACTCTTTGTCCTTCTACACCGACTTGCCCTTACTCGTCTTACGCTTTAATCGATTTCCTTTTCAAAGAAGTCCTTAAGAAATTCCTTAAGACATGTCTTCGAGTTGAAGACGTTTCAGAAATATCTTCAGAAATAAGACATTTTAAGAATAATAATTATTTTAAGAATTAATAATTTTCAGAAATAAGTATTACTTCTGTACGTTGCACATTTATTGAAGCATCGAATAATATATTATTTAAAAATCTCCGTAGAATAATTTTAAATAATTTATTTTAAATAATTCCCTTCACTAGATTTTCTGCGTAATTTCAATATCTAATAAGATATTATTTAAACACTTCTATGGAGATTTAGAGAAATTTAAATTATTAAGTTCACCGTATAATATCACGTTTAAAAGATCTCTATTTAGAGTTAATGAGCACAGTTAACGAGAATGACATATCTCGTTCGATATCGATGGCGGAGATGAAGAGAATGAATTCGATCGTGGAAGGTTAATTGGTAGTACGATCTAATAGTACGTGAAACAATATTTGGAGCACGAGACTCATTGATTTCTTGAGCCTCGTGACCCATATTGGGTTAACAAGAATCACAAAAACGCTTGAGCATCGTGCAAGGTTTAAGTTGACCTCAGCTCTCCTGAAGCAATATTTAGATGAAGATTCAGCTTAAAAAGGTGCAAACTTCCAGTTGACATTAACATTGACGAGATTCCCGTGTCCCTGAATTTTTTTTCCTAACCCAGTTACGATCTAGTAAGACACTTCACCAAAATTCTCCTCGTAATTTCCCTTACACGTACTTTTTCGCGATGCGAGGCCAAATTTTACATCGAAATATTTAAATTTGTGCTTCGAACGAGAGCTAAAGCGTAGTTTACATCTCGATGAATTCAAACGGAAGAAATAATAATAAAAAATGGGAAATTCCTCTTTAAAGGACACGAAAAATGTTTATATTCGTGAATCCTTTTGACCCAATTATGACCTAGGAAATGGTTTTTTTTTTCACAAAATTCTTGGAATTTTCCTTGCATGATCCTCTATAATTTAACACGAAATTCAAATTTTAAGGCGAGAAGAAAAATGTGATTCAAACACGAGAATTTCCTTTTCAAAATGAACAAAAGATTCTTGAATTCGCTCTTTACATGTTCTTCTATGATTCAAGACAGAATTCCAATAGAAAATACTGGAATTATATTTCAAATACGAAACAAAGCCTAATTTATGTCTTAAGGAATTTAGAGAAAAAGAATAATTGGCAACATTAGCATATTCGAAATAAGAATTTTCTCTTTAAAAAGGGATTTGAATGTTTTTCGTCCATCACGACTTAATACTAACATACTTTGTCAAATTTCTCCTTATATCGCGATTTGAGATGAAATTTCAAAGTATTTAAATTCATGTTTTATGTTTGATGAATTTAAAGCACGAAAATAACGCGTAACTTTCGCCCGTTGAAAACGGAAATTTCCTCTTTAAAAAGGACAATTCATAATCGATATATTCGCCCGTAAAGAATCGCACGCGTTTGCGCGGAATAATACTCGTGGTTACCAAAATGTTTTTACAACTTCTCCCGACGTTTTCATCTGTCATTGCCATTTAATTTCGCGGTTTAAAAGCTCACGAACCTCATCTTTCACCGCAAAACGCCTCGTTTCCTGTTCGTTTGGTTACCTTGAGCAAGATAAATCGCAAAACGAGATATCGAGACGATGATTTGATGCGTGCATTTCCCGCACACAGTCGAAAATTTAAACAATTTTGAGTTAAAAGATATTCTACGTGGTAAACGAGTATCGAAAAGTTACTACTGAATTTTTCCTCGACCCTAAACCTACCACGACTAGTGGAAAGACCTGTAGATGAGAAAATGGAGAGAGAAGAACTTAGAAAATTGGAAAAAGATAAAATAAGAGAAAATATTGAAAAATTTACGATGCACGTATTAAAAAGAAAGTCGAAAAGTCAGACTAACCAGAGTGATGCTGAATAAAGAATGTTTAATCAAAAATTTAGAAACGGCTATTCAAGCTATGGTTGGTGTTATTGTGCAGCTAAAATTTCACCAATTGCCAGTAATTGCGTTAGATTCCTCCATATCGATCGTGGTGCAATCGATGATTCGATTAGCCAATTCCTCGCTCGTTCTAGGTAAACTCTCCTTCATTTTCTTGTTATCTTTTCTCAGCTTATGCAGACAATTCAAAGACACGATTTTGGAGATAGTAAAAACTGGCAATTCACAGTGTTGTAACTTATTTCCCAAAAAATCAGAATCATCTCTCGAAGATGATACTTTCTAATAATTAAGATGAAAAGAGACATTATGCACGAATTAGAGAGGTCTAAAATGATATGATAAGGAACGTTGAAGAATATGTGGGAAGAAAAGCTGGAGAAAATCGAAGGAAATCGTCCCAGGCAAACAGGTCAGTTCACTTCGTCAATGGACGAACCCACGTTTCCACTTTTCCTAGCCAATATCTATAAAATGATTCCTTACTTGCCCAAACCAAGTTACGAAACCTTCCTCTAACGTTAGCAAAACACATGAGAGAAAAGCACTTTCTGAGAGTGCCATTTCTCTAGCCCCTATTGCTTCACCCGAGAGTCAGCCAAGACCCCAAGAACCCAGTACCTCAATATGCTACCGTAATATACAAACCACGTTTGAACACCCATCGGGACCACAACTCCAATTGCAACAGGGAAAAGCAAGTTACATCAACTGACAGTACTTCTGATTGACGATACCGAACCCATGGTACCTAACAACCCCTAGCACCCATCCTGAAAGCTCGCAAAATCGACTCACGAGGCATACACGTAGCACAATCCATAATCGAAGCTTTACAATGTCCTCGGACATCCGTATAGACGTCATAGTCGACTGATACTCGCCGAACCACCTTTTTCAAATTTTTCCAAAATCTCGTCGATGGACAGGCTACCCGTGGCCAGACTATCTAGATATATTTGCGACCTGCGAAAGTTTCGGAATGTTTTAACTCGCGTTGGTGAACTTACGTGTCGTTAGAACGAGGGTCCCGGTGGAAAATCGACAGCTCGTTCACGGGGCCACACTCCGTATCGCCCAACTGGCGATACCACACTGACGATCGTTCGCGGCGCAGCTACTAGGCAGGCGTGCGGCCAGGGGCGGCACTTGCGTCCGGAAAAGGGACATCGTTACCCTGAAACCGATGTCTGCCCGGGACCGACGTTTTTCCACCTTTTTAATTGCCCTTTGGAAATTTTCGATCGATAGGGTGTAAGGGTCCACGAGAGAAGCGGAGCAGGAGGGCTTCGAGTCAGGGGTTGCAAGGGCTTTCCTCTGGGGTGCGAGGACAGTTAGGGTGGGTGTTGGTTGCAAGTGGAATTCGTGGAAAGTTGGAGGCACGGGTGAAATTGGTGAGAAGGGTGGATATGAAATATATAGCTTCTTTTTGGCTACGACGAGGGGCTTCCTGCTGGATTCTCGAGGGTTATGCTTCCTTATGAAACGAAAAATTTCGCAACGTTTTGGTCTTTTATTTTGGCACGAAGGGACATGATTAGATGTGGGTCTTGCTTTTTTGGGAAATTTTGGTAACGAATTGGGATTAATGTAATATTGCGCAATGGAGGAAGGGTTAAATGCGCTTCTTTGGGGTATGAAGAGGGGTAGAAGCATTTGTTTTGCTTGTGTATTTTAGTATGGAAGAATGTAACTTGTGGCTATATTTTTGATAAGATTTCGGAGTTTAGATATTTCTAGTGACATCTTAGTAACATATTGGGATTAATGTAACCTTGCGTGATTAAAAGGTTTAAGTATCTTTCTCTAAGGAATATTAGAAGTATTTATTTTAGTCGTATCTTTCAGTACTGTAAGTTAATTGGAAGAAAAACTTGGCTTTTGTTACTATAAGAGGAATACTACTGTTAAATGTGGAGTTGTGCGATTTCAAGTGTTGAACTTGTTTTCTTGAACATGTAGCAACTGTGGGTAGAACTCACTTAAGATACTTGTAAAGAGAGAATGCCTTTGATGAACATTTCTTTAAATGCAAGCATAGTACAACTACAACATTATACTACTATTTGTATTGCTAAAATATTATTAGATTTTTATATTTTCCTACTATTTTTTATTGGGCCCGATACATTATTTCCAAAGGAAATTTTCTTATTTTTAAATTAGAACTAAGAATAAAATTTATCTCGAACAATATATTTTTATATAATTCCGATTGAATATCTATTTAATACGAATGATATAGATACGTTCTCAGTGGAGAAAATTATGACATTGTAGGACAATGATCAACATTTTTATCGTAATGGTGTCAAAGAAACTGAGAAGCACACGTTTCCATTTGTTACTCATACAATTGGATAACTGGAAAAGTAGGTGAATTCTTTGATCCTGAAACTGCAGAAAGCCTCGATTTAAAATGTTTAAGCAACAACAGCGAGAAGTTTGCTTTATGCAGTTTAATCCTGATGGGGTTGAATTAATTATTCGGTTCAAGGATAGCACTCGTAATCCGAGAATTACCTTGACATAGAAGAGGGAAAAGAATCAAAGAATTTTTGAACTAATTAATTTCATATTTCCCCATATTTCTTATTCTCTCTACATTTTAATACAAATTTCTCACTAATATCGCGATTATCATAATCATTATTTTTCATTAATATTGCAATTATCGCAATCAGTAATTATAACCCCCGTTCACGTATTTTTTAACGAAATTGTGCAAATAATTCCAAAAAACAATTATTCGTACTCGTACTAACCATAAGCTCTTTTTGTCTACGTTCGTTTAAAAAGAATTGTGCAAAACCTGTACTAAAAGCTAAAGCAAATAGAGTACAGTCTATCAAGGATTGCAAGAATAGGAAAAACCGAGCGTTTAGCCATAAATTTAGCCTTTAATCGTGGTCCGAAGGGATCGACAAACTTTTCTCTCGACAATTCCACTCTGAAATAACGCAGGGGGAATTTGCAAAAAGGATATCCTAAGAAAGTAGCAACTAGACAAAAAGAAAAAGGTAGATCCACACCCTTATGCGATAAAACCAGACACTTTCCTTCCCTTCCTCTTCTTCATCTTGTCCTTTGTTTCATTTCCTCCCTTCGTACTTTACGTTCTTTGCACCCTTGTATCTTCTTCCCTTCGTGTCTTCGACCCTTTGCAAATCTACTGAAAATGAGAAAAATTATTTTAAAAAGAAATTTTCGAATTTTTGAATAGAAATTATTTATGATAGAAGAAAAGAATATTGGAAGTTATAGAATGTGTATATATCGATGTATAGTATCATGGAACAACAAAAAATAAAATGTTCTCATATTTTTTTATTATGAATTATATCTTGATTAAAAAAGGAAATAACGAAAGTACCAAGTAATTTTTATTCGAATCATCTTTTCATGTAGCAAATAGTTTTCAACAAATTTTTGACAATTTGGTAAAATTGAGTGACTCAACCTACACGATGATACGTGAATTTTCGAATTTTCTTGACTCATTAAAATATTACGATATCGATCAGTATCGAGTTTCTAAGACAACGTGCATCAGAACTCTATCCATTAATTTAATCGCCAGAATATGCAAATTTATTAGTATCACACTTAACAATGACCATTTCTTTTCCTTTGACGTACTCTATTAGTTTGCACGTAATCAGTGACTTCTTGATTAATTAATTTTTTCACTTCTTTAGGATTAATTAAGTCTCATAAAAAAAATATAGCACAATGTAAATAGAACGTAAAACGATTTAGTATAATAGAAAAGTAAGATACACTATAAATATAGTAATATAACTCATTAATGTATTATATTTATTCTACTACAATACCCTAATATACTACAATTTAATTTAATCGTATATTTATTTAAGTATTTCGTTCAGTAATAATTATATACTCATACACCGAATATACTTCATTATAGAACACTATACATGTACTATACTCCAGTATTTACTCTGCAATAATAATTAAATCGCAATAATAGTATAATAAAAGAATAATAAAAATAATAATATAGCAAAAAGTAAATAAATAATAAATAATAATAATTGTATAAATTTACTATATTTACCTTGCTATATTTAGTATACGCTATGTTTAACTCACACCAATACAGTGTGACAAAAAGTACATCATATACACCTGAAATACATTTGGTTAGGATCAAAGGGGAAAGCACGTTGAACTAACCAAAGAGGGTCAATGCTACTGAAATGGAATACGAATTTTCATGATTATCGGTTACATTGCACGAAGTGACTGAAATTACGCTTTTTTTAGCCACCAGCTGGCCGGTTAATTGCCGCTACTGTTCCGCGCGACTTTTACTATGCACACACGCACACCAGCTTATCACCCTGTGTAATGTACTTATCGTACACGTACGCGCATGCGTCAGCCAGACGGACGCTTCCACGTACGCGTTTCAATGCCGTTAATAGTTTCGAAATTCGATTGTTGTCGCTATATAATGGAACATCGAGACCCCTTGCTATCTTCTAGAGTCAACCGAAGCCTCGTATCAAGGACAGACGAATCGCTGGATGAAAATTTCGAACGTATCCGGAAATGTCATTACAGCGGTATTATAGTCGGAAAAGAAGCGATTCTACTTTGTGATTTTGAATCGCAAATGTAGAGAAGTAATGTTAATTTTCCTGGTCCTTCAAGGAGAGACTGAGAAAGTAACGTAAAAAAGAATATAAAGTTGAAGTATGAGAAAAGTGATCGTTATTTTTAATGATAATGAGTTTTATTTTTTTGTAGATGTACATATTTTCATCAACATTTGACTCATCATTTTTTTTAATTACAAATATATTTTTATATCTCCTTAGACTTTCATATTTATACCTTCTTGGAACCTGAGAATACTTGAGCTCTAAAAATACATCTATAATTTAAAATATGTTTTACACCAATCTGTATCTACTCTCAACTTTGATGTCTCTGTTAACCTCCACATCGATACTTAAAATTATCTCCAAAAATAAATTTGTCCTAAAATTCATTTAGTAAAAATGAACGGAAAAAATGATGTAAAAATTTGTGTCTTACGAAACTTCTCAATTGCCGGAAGAAAAATCATGTGTAAGACGTTTATAGAGTGTCTAACACTGGACGCAAAAACTACAAAAAGGCGTGGGTAAGTCTAACGTGATTAAGGTCTACGTAAGCAGTGACACCGGCTGCGTAATACAACGTTAGTACCTTCTGAACGACTATCCCGAACGCTTGGCCCAGCGAGCTCGTATACACCATCCAAGGGAATGGATGGCCTCATTGCATAGACGCGCTGTGCTACCAGCTGGATCAATAACGCTGCTGTCAGGCTTAGCTGGATGTTCGGGTACGTGGAGGTGGAAGGAGAACAGGAACGTAAGTACTAGGTCTGAAAGATTCGCGAGTCCATCTACGTTCGACTAAACGATGGTCAATTATGTTTTAATTAAATTTGGTTAAAGTTGCTGTCAAGAAGATTACGTGCTACGCTTCGTTCGATTTTTCGTTTGACATATCTTAATGTGGAAAATAGAGTAATGGATATTTAAGGCAAATTCGAATTTATGATTAGTCTTGGATTTTTGTTGAAATTATTTCAATGATAAATAATTCATATTGTAACTATTAATAATGGTAGTTATAATTAGTTTAGTATAGTTGTACTACAGTTATACTATAACTATTACTATGAATTAATTTTGTAAAAATACATGAAGGATCTGTTCAAAAATTTATGATCGCAGAAGAAAAATCCCATGTTTGAGCTATTACAGAGTAGGGTATAAATGCATAAAGTATATAAATATTCTTTTATGATTTACAGTCATTCGAGCGTTGCCGAGCACAGACTGATCCACGCCGATCATAACCGCGGCTTTTCTACTACCCCTATCAAGCTGATGCGCATGCGCACGCATTCGTTACTAGTATACTTACTAATTCGTACAATTAGACTCATTGTCAGTAAAGAATATATACATGTATCGTGCATTTACTTTATAAAGAAAGTAAAAATTCTTTGAGTCAAAAAGTATTAAAATTATACTACAAAACTTCAATAGTACATCGTAAAAT